TCTGAAATTCGAGCCCCTCCATGGTATATATATAAACTCAGTGCACCTTCTTGAACATGACTAGAAAGTTGTTCTTCCCAATTTGATACAGTTGAAAGAGGGCATACTATTAAAGTTCCTCTCGATTTTATCAAAGGATCCTGCTTTGAAAATGTGTGGAATTTACTTGTGAGACTGTCACTTAAATGCGAACCAGATGTCGAAGTTTCTATCATGACTTTCGAAGGATACGCATCATCAAAATTCTGACAGAAACTGAGTGCTTCATTTTGAGTGCTAAGTATCAGTGCGATGATTTGTATTGTCTTACCAAGCCCCATCTATAATGAAGAAATTACACTTAATGACCAAAGGTTTTAACACAATAGCGTTGAAAGAAAACATACGTCATCTGCTACAATCCCACCCCTCATTTGAGGTTTTTCTTTTGTTTCTTTATTTGTAATAACATTGTAGTAAACAGTATGACGTCCAGCACTTGTTCCTGTGCGCCAGAGAGATGTCAATGCGTTGGTTTCATCGTTAGTAAAGTCATTGTATTTTTCACGTTCTAAAAGGAAATATAGTGCTTGCTTTTGATGTTTGTATAATGGCGTAACAAGACGCGGATCTGGAGTTGTAGTATTTGCCAAAATCAACCTTAATTATGATGAATAGTAATAAACATTCAGATTACAAACATTTTTTGGTAAACTGACCAGGTTGCGCTTCCGGAATACTTTCAGCATTCATTAAGGAATTAAATACTTTATCAATTTGATTTTTCATTTCTTCAGGAGACCTTGTGGTTGTATTTCTATAAGTTTCTTGGTAACTTCTATAAGAGTTATTGACGTTTTTACTCAATTGAGAAATGCTACCATGTAGCAAATTGTGTGGATTCGAGTAACGCGTCGCGACATTGTAAATAATAGGATCTGTCAGGCGCACGTTTCTTTCAGCCAAGTGTGTGCTTACAATCTCTGTATTTCCAGGACGTCCATATAGGATGATATGTAGGGGTATCATCATTTCCTACATATATGATGTTTCCAGTATATTAATAATTGGATTCATTAGAAATCGTAATATTTTGATGGACACTAAGAAATGAGAAATTTACTGATGATGACAAATTTTTTGGGATAGAAGCTTCTGTCCACACTAGGTTTTCGTCCATTAATGGAGCTAGAACATTAGCCAGCTCTTGTTCAACTACACCAAACTTTACAATCATGATGTAAAAATAAAAATTTGTTTTCCGTTATCATAGAATGGTTTCTTGGTTTATATATTTTAACAAACTTACTGATTCGCCATTTTTGGTAACGCGTATTACAGCTTAATATATATAGATAGAAAAATGTTTTTCATTGTTAATGGTCTATGTAATACTAATAAAGAATTAAGTATAATGAAGATTAGGTTCACCTTGGTTCTTTAACCTGGTACCTTCTCTCTTCAATTCTACTACTTCTTCATCTTGACCATTACATGAAGGTCTTGGATATAAAACCAATACTAGAGATTTGATCATTCCCCAGCACAAATTTCTATTTGTCTCTTCTTCGTCAATTACACAATCGTCATCACTGTTATCGCTTGTTAAGTCGACAATTTCTTTCTGTTGGGAGGAACTACTAACTGGAGCAGGAATTTGTGCAGTAGGCAAAACTGAAGTAGTCCGTGAAGTTGGTGCAAATTGTGGTGTCACGGAACCGATCGAATAAACTTTATTGAAGATTGGATTGTAGTTATTGTAATGTAGCAGTGGTAAATTGCTAATTATAGGTGGCCCACGCGTTGAGGGATCATTAGTAATTGTTGAAGACAGTAAATGGCTGTCACCGGTTGGTTCTAGTCGACTTCTTTTCAGGGGTCTGGTGTCTGGAGAATTTGATAATTGGTCAATTTCGATTCCAATCCGCTTTTCAGTACATCGTTGATTTTTCGATTGTTCCTTCATTTTTAAAGCCTACCACCAAGAATTGATGGTTCGATCCTTTGTCTTTATATAATGTTCTTATATAGTAATAGAATTTACCAGGTAAGATAATCGTGTAACCTCTATTACCTTTAACGTTAGCACACTTCCCCGATTTTTATATAATTAATATAGATTAATAAATTAGCTTGTTTAGAGTTCAGAATTTTAGTATAGTTAATTTATATTATAGTTTTTTTTAACTTGTAAATTATAATCGGTATGAGTATATAATTACAAAAAAAAACTTGTCTGTAAGTATATATATCAGATATAGTAAGTGGTGATTATATAGAGGTGTGATTACTACGAGATTATCAAATGATTACTTTCCCGTAATACTCGACAAAATTCTTTAATTAATGACGAAAGGTTTCTTATGCAAATTTTTGAAAACTTTATGTAATGCTAAACAGACGTTTGTTTGGATCTTTCCGATCGTATTACGTTGCACCAAATCGCGATTTACCATTTGCTAATTCCAGTTTATAAGTCCAATGGAACAAAGTTAGTCAATTCCCCAACACTGGATCAGTTAGGGTTGGGAATACGGGTTTATAAAAGGCGTAACTATTAGTCAGAACAGTGTTGTCGCGTTTATAATGTCAAGACTTCTTTAGATCACGTTCAATGTCTAAACGTCACATGTTCAAGCATGTTTGTAGCATATTCAAGCTTCAAAATACTGTAATTACATATTTTGAAACTCTTCTTTCCTTTGTAAAAATTAGCTGTTTTCATCATATTTTTTATAACTTTCAGCTACATAAACGTGACAAACATTATCATAATAAATTATAGCCAATAGTGAAAATAGTAAAATTTTATAGTAGAAATAGATATTTTTTATATTTTTTATAGTATATATTACTGTAAATACTATGCTTTTTATTTTTATTTTTATTTTTTTTATAGTCAAGATTAGCCTCTTTGGCTTATCGCTTTTATTAGATTGTAGGATCATGTGGTGCACATTCTGACGAGGATACACATGGACACACGTACTATGCTTTTTATTTAAAAAGTTAAAATAAATTAATTTAATAGAATTTTAAAAATTTTGATTTATTTTTAATAGTGTAATAAATTTAGTAAAATAGTTAAGTTGTTATTTTTAAACAGTATATTAAGAGTTTGAATTCTACTAGTAATTATAAAATTTGGTTTTTTAAATTAGTTAAAATAAAATATTTATAATTATACTGTATTTGCAAAATTGAAAGATTAAATAGTATTTGTATAATATAATAATATAAAGAAATACAAACTAGTATTAAGCAATACAATTTATAAGAAGTTTATTTAATTATATAAATTTAAAAAATTAAAAAAACAAAAGTTTGTTTAGTAAAGTATTTAAGTAAAAAGATAGAAAAGATTTTTAATAATAATATAATATTAATATAAGTATATTAAGTCAATTTCTTTAATAATCACTTATATCAAACTTACAATTAACAAAACAGAAACTTGTTAGAGGAAAATAAAAAAGACAACTATACAAGTAATAGTTTTTATAAAGATCAAGACTATCTGATATTTGCTAGACTCCTTTATATATTCAACAAGCAAGTTAAAAATGTTTCTATATAAGATAAGTAATGTGACAAAAATCAAATGATTTTTTAGAAAGAAGAGGATAAAAAATTTAAAATTATATATAAAAACTTAATTAAGATAGAGGAGAAGATAAGCTTCTAATAAAAAAAAATCAGGTAATAAAAAATACTGTCCTAACTGGCAAGAAGATGATGCTTTTGAACAAAAAATTTTAATAGAAACAAATCTTCTATTGATAAAGTAAAAAAATAGTTGGTTTTCACAGAAACTCTTTCTGACAATCATCTGGTCAACAAAAAACAAGAAACCGAACTATGGTCAGTGCTATAGAAGACATTTAAGTAAATAATAAACTTGGTCCTACAGAAGTAGGTGTGTTGTCGACGAAGTACCAAGAGTGTAAAACCGGGGAGCGGTCTACTTTGAACTGGTTTTGGTAGAGGTCAAGCTCTTCTTCTGGTGGACTCTTCTGCCTATTCGGCATTCAAACTAGAAGGATATTTTGGAAACACAGAACGTCTAGGATGACACTAGGAGTATTACAAGCTTAAGGTATATCTATACAACCGTAAAACTTACAAGGAACAACCACAGAAAAGTTTCGTTGGCCTACCACTTTTTTCGAGGAAATTTTGTCAAAAAGTGGGCGTTTTAGCTTACTCCCTCCAAAAGATCGTCATGTAATTTTCCAAAACAAGTCAGTATTGTTTATCTGTCTAGAAATGGATAGAACTTCCATAACAGAATAACGGGCAGACGTCCAGATTAAGCAACTATGTATGGACTGTATGACAACACAAATGGTATATGTGCCTCGACCGGAAAAACCGTTGAACAATACTTCGAGACTTTGATTTTTCGGGCTACTCTGTTTTATTTAGCTGTTTTTTTTTTTATGTTTTTTTTTTATATACATATATTATTAGGATAGAGTTAGATACAAAGCTTCTTTACCTATTAATATGTAATTTTTAAGGCCCGACACAGGCCTATAACTATGACCTATCAGATCTTCTTTTCTTTTTCTTTCCCCCTTTTGTCTTTGTATTTGTTTTTTAGTTTTAGTTTCCGTTTTTTTTAGTATCTCCTTTTTAGTATTAGTGTTAGTGTTAGTAAAAATTTTTTTTCTTTCTACTTCTCTACGAGAAGATGTCATCAGATTGGCGATATCCTATTGTAGGGCGGTGGTCTGATAGTGTTCGTCTGAGAGAGATAGTGTTTCTATTTTGAAACTTATCGCGATATATTCATAGGGATGTATCTGCTCAG